ATAGCTGTTTGAGTGTTTTTGGTTGAATCAATGAGTTGTAATACTGGAGTGAACTTCATTGAAATAAAGCAATAGACTTTGGTGTTTTAAAGTGACTACATTGTTCAAATGGAGGCAGTCAGAGTTTTTAAAAGGACTGTTAATTGTTCTGTTAAAATGCACGGCCTGCCGCTGCAATATAAATATATATGTTAATATATATGATAATCTTTCTTTAGCGCTGTAAGGACAGGAAGTACGTCACTTCACTTCGTCTTCCTGGTCGTCGCGATTATGCCTCTGTTCTGGAAACTCCTCAGAAACCCCTTTTGTCAATACAGTTTGATTAAGTTGTGAAGTCAAGTTTTAAAAAAATAATCTCGATACAATTAAATGGTTATATGGGGAATAACATCACAATAATACAATTTGTCTCACTGGATGCACAAAATCGTCGGCTTTCCAGACGAACCCAATTAAAGCAAATTCAAGACCCAGTTAAGGGACAGAGTATGCAGAGATAATACCATACACCATTTTAGAATGGGTAAAAATAACATTTTTATATTGCATGAAAGAGAAATGATCAAATACAAGAGATTGGCATGAAGGGGGCATGTCTGTAAGAGGTTCCTCTAGTTCAGGGATTCCCAAAGTGTGGTGCGCGAGCTGCCTCCGGGGGGTGCGCGAGAGGAAAAATCTAATGGTGTAATAATTGATATTAAATATAATTTTAAAAAATGTAAGTGGGATTTTTCACAAAAACATGAAATATAAAAATTCCCTTTGTCACATTTAAATTAAAAAACTTACAATTTAATAAATAAATGCACTTCAGCTCCTGCCGCCAGACTGTCTTTTACGTACACAGCCTAGCTTGTGCAGCTATAACGTCAGCTAACAGCAACGTTCATGCAAATATGCAAAACTGGCTGAAATCGGGAAAACTGTCAGGTGGGACATCTGAAGCTATCAGTCATAAAAGAGGAGAGAGAGAGAGAGAGAGAGAGAGAGAGAGAGAGAGAGAGAGAGAGAGAGAGAGAGAGAGGAACGGAGAGGTGCGTTGGGGAGAGACCGGGAGAAGAAATCGAGCAAGAGTCAGAGAAAGATGAGACGGAGGAGACCGACAAGGAGGAAGGGATAGCACAGACAAATCGGGAGCACATAGGTCCATCGCGGAGTCAAGGTGAAACAAGAGGAAACGAGAGTGAGCATCAGACCGGGAATAAAAAGAGGAAACGTGATGAAAGGTATCTGGGTCTGGGCTTCACTTGGATTGGCAATGCAGATTGCCCAAAGCCACAGTGCGTGGTGTGCAGTGAGGTTCTGGCTAACAGCTGTCTGAAGCCCTCTTATTTACGTCGCCACCTGAACACCAAGCATGCCAGTGCAAGTCAGAAGCCCCTTACATTTTTTATTTCGAAATTTGAGGAGTTACAAAACAGACCAAAACCACTGCAGTCTCATTCATGTGTTGGGTCTATAAAACACGCACTGCGGGCTTCATATCTGGTCACAGAATAGCAAGAAAGGGGCTACCGCACACAATCGCCGAAGACGTGTGCTTGCCAGCTGCCAAAGAGATGGTGGAATGTATGATTGGAGAGTGTAACTTTATTGTAATTCGATTCAGATGAATGTAACCGCTATGTATGGTTAATTGTAAATTAAATGTGATGCAATCTGCCTCTGAGCCTGTGCGTGTGTCCTCGCCATCCTTATTGCTCTTTCAAAGTGACGCCTTGTGTAACTGAAATGTATTGGAACTTTGTTGCAGTGTTTCAGGGCGTTTTCACACCTTCAGTTCGTTTGCTTTGTTCCGATTCAGGGATTAATATGATACAATGTTGCAGTTGCCCCTTTGTTCGGTTTGTGTTCACACAAACAAACGCCACGCGCGAGCAAACTGTTCTCTCATTGGTCCGATTGTTATGCGGCTATAAATAGGCTCTGTTGATTTTTCTTTTTTTAAGGTGTGGGGCATTGGGGGTGCGTGAACCCGGTTGGGATGTAGAAGGGGGTGCGTGGCCTAAAAAGTTTGGGAACCGCTGCTCTAGTTCATCATCAGAAGAGTCAGCGTCAAGGGTCAGAGGGTCCCCATCCCACACCTCGTCCTCTCCCTCATCCTCCTCCTCCTCCTGTAGGCCAGTGGGGTCCATCAAAACTATCCTGCATATAAAAGCATGACTTATTGTCATGGTTTGCGTCCAGGCTCTTAGTCTTTGTGGGCTGACAGCATTGTAATGTTTGACCTTTGACGAATCAAAACTGCTTACTGCCTGTGTGCCGACCCTCCTCCTCCAATAGGTGTCCCTGTTGTGTTTCGTTATTTGTTGCAGGTGCCGATTCGAGGGACGTCAGCTGGATGAGCCACTTCTGAGCCGGTGTGGGGCCCAATCCCAATGTCCCCCCTAAAGCCTCAAACCCTGAACCCTCAAGGACTCACTGACGTCACCTAAGTGGTTGAGTGTGAGAGACTGTGAGGGCTTGAGATGGTGTAAATAGGAATTTGACAGCACTTTGCTGCAACATATCACATTACCATGTAAACGACAAAAAATATAATACAATTGTGTGTATTTATTTTATACTTTGTACTCCCTGATTTGAGCGTATTCAGGCTCTTTCCTCACAAGAGGTGATTTCATATAATCTATTTACTTGTTTTTGTCAAAATGGCTTCAATGACAAAATCAAATATTTGATGAATAAATATCTTCTGATTTCAAGTATATTTGTTGTTCCATCTTTAACC